GCGAGAACAGGGAGACTAGAACTAGGACGAGAAATGGAAAACGAAACTGGAACTAGAAATGAAGAACGTGGGTGAGGTCGAATGGCCTCACGTCCCTCTTTTGTAGGCAAAAGAGGGTGAGTAGCGCTTCGACGCTGTCCTTGCTGCGTTGGCCCTCGCTGCACTTTCACAATACACATTTTTATAATGCGTTACACGCTTTCAAAAAATTACATATATGTTGACACACCCCCTAGGCTAGACAAGGGGCAATGACTCGCACAAGACAAGCAGCTCAGGGTGGCACTACTAGTCCAAGCTCTGAGACAAGGGTCTGAAGAGTGCAGCAAGAGTACAAAGGAAACAAGAGTAACCCAAGGCGGCACTACTAGTCCAGCCATTGGAACAAGAGCCACAAGGCCTTTCAAGATTATATAAGGAGTAGTACACAATCAAGGTCCTAGCAAGTGAGAAGCTACACAAACCAGAACAAGCTGTACAGAGTGCCGCTGATGATCTTTAGGTGCAAGTGCATTCAGGTGTGTCTCCTCAGCCGCTCAGCCTTCATGGAGGCCAGTGCGTCTCTGTCTGCAGTAGCGAAGACCAGGTTGTCTAAGTAGACAAGGTTGTAGAACGGGGTTTGGCCTGAACGAACGAAGAGCGAGGGGTCTGCAAACGATGGAAAGAACTACGTGTCAGCTAACGTAGCACGCAGCGTGTCATGCCACTTGTGGGGCACCTGCCGCAGGCCGTAAACCGGGCGCCGGAGAAGCCACTCGGTCCCAGGGGAGAAGGTGCTGGTGAAGCCTGGCGGATAACGCAGGTAGACGTGCTCGTGCAGACTGCTCTATAGAAACGCCGCAGAGAAGTCGAGGGAGTGCAGCTCGTAGTCACGCTGTGCTGCTACGTGTAGCAGCGCCCGAAGAGTGGTAATCTTTGGGGTCGGGGAGAAGGACTGAAAGAAGTCAACACCCTCGCGCTGACTGAAGCCTCTACCCAAGTAGCGCGCCTTGAACACCTGCGGATCTCCAGAAGGGCGCTTCACCTTGAAGAACCACCGGCCATCGACTACGTTCACCCCAGGTGGAGGAACTTCGTCGATGTAGGTGCCGGTGGATCTCCAACATGCCATCTCCGCGTCCATGGCAGCTATCCACTGAGAGACCTAGAGTCCCGAGGTCGCCTTAGTGTAGGTGCGAGCGTTTAGGATGTCAAGGGCGTCTGGGTCACCCTCAGGGACTAGCAGCATGGAGCAGAGATGAGGAGCGGCTTCGAACAAGAAAGCAGGCTTATTGTGCCGGTCCTCCAGGACGTCAGTGAGAGCAAGACATGTTCCCTAGGAGAAAGGACTACTTCTATATTTTATAGGGCACTCTTGATTACCTAGAATACTCCATTTAATCACTCGGATTATTTGATCCAAAATGGTTATTTGGTTTATTCTTGGTTATCTAGATTAACTGTTGCGTGCACCTAGTGTTCACCTTACTTCGACGAATCCTCTAGTGCTTCTAAATTAGTTGCTTCTAGAGGGAAATGGTTCCTTTCTAGAATATTCACGTTTTAGCTAAACTCGCGCCTCGCTCGGAGGACCTCGCGAGTGCTCGCCTATAAATTGTGTTGTTCCTCAGGATTCAACATTCAATATTCTTTCAATAGTTCACATTCTCTTCCGCACTATGCACGGCGCATTTGATACTATGACAACATCACTACCAAGTGTAGGTGCACCCCCGACGGACGGAGGACGGACCAGAGCGGTGGCGTAGTCAAGGTGGCAGGTAGAGGCAAAGTCAGCGACGGCAGAGACAGGCGAGTCAAGACTCGAGACAGGAACAGACACGTTGGTAACGAGGGAGGCAAGGACCCGAGGAACAAGAGGACTAGTAGCACGAAGGAGGTCACCGCCCTCCTCCGCTTTCCCTCTTCCCCTTGCCCATGGCAGTCAGCTGCTGCAGTCGTGGTGATGGCGGATTCTATGCTCCGCCTGGACGCGGAGGGTCGGGCCGTTGAGTTTGAGGTGTGGCTCGTCGACCTCCCCCTCAAGCTGACCGGTCAGTGCCAGGACTGCCACTCCCACGCCGTCCATGTCGACGGTAAGCTCCTTCGCCCCACCACGCCCGCTGCCCTCTCTGACGCACCCACGTCTGCTGAACATGAGGCGTTTGTTGCTGCTGAGCTTGCCTGCGCTGTCTGGGACTCGCGCGACGCCATTGCACAGCTTGCCATTAGTCATGCCCTCCCCCTGTCTGAGCGTCCCCGCTTTATCGCCGTAGCAAACGCTAAGGAATACTTAGATGTCGTCATCGCGTGCTATTCCACTCCCTCCTCAGCCTCTGCCAGCCGTCTGATCCTCCCCATGTTGTTCCCTGACCTTGCGTCCTTCCCCACTGCTGCCAACCTTGCCACTCTCCTCCGCGCATTGAAGAATAGCTACCGCACTACTAGCATTGAGGCACAGATCACTGCCTTCCCGCCGCCGCTTTGCGCTACCCTTTATTTCATTGCCACCTGCCTTCTTGACCATCTTGCCACTGCCTGCAACCACTTCCTTTGTCATCACCCAGGTGACCTCACCCTTACTGCCTTTGTCACCGCCCAGTCCGCGAGAGAGACCCGCCAGCGCAATATCGTTTAGTCTAGCGGTACTGCAACGGTCCCTATCTTCCAGGGCTGTGCTCCTTCCTAGTGCACTTACTCTGACATTTCTGTCGCTGTCGCCAAGACAGTCCCTACTGCTGAGATCACCGCTGCAGCCTCAGCGCAGCAGCATCAAGGTAAGGGCAGCCGCCCCAAGGGGGCCCGTGGCGGAGGGAAGGGTGGTGGGGGTGGTCGAGGTGGGGGCGGAGACGGTGGTGCGGACGAGGGGACCGGGGCTGGTGCCCCCAAACAGCAGCAGTAGCCGCCATGGGGACTCCGCCGCCATGGTGACCTTGTGGCGCTGGTGGTCGTCGTGGTGGTGGTGGGCCGCGTAGCTCGGTGTCAGGTGGTAGCTCCAGTGTGGCCACCGGCCAGTACCAGCTTTAGTCCTGCCCCTGCCGTGACACCATCTGCAACCGTCCCGGTCACACCGCCCCCCGCTGCTACCACCGCCTCGACGACCTCTTTCGCCTCCGCTTCGGCCCCGCGTCGGACCCTCCCAACTAGTACGCCCTGGTGCGTCACCGTGTGCCTGTCTTATAGCTTGATATGGATCAGATTAGGACTGCTATGTATGTCATGCATGCTGATGACTCTTGTGTGACTGGATCGTATAACCCGGTATTGCCTAGCGTAGTCTAGGTTCCCCTGCTGCGTCCGGCGTAGGATCCCCTGCCTGGTTTAGCCTTGGCTCCTCTCTACCTCCTTCGCCTGCGGCTGCTACCGCCACGCTCTCGTTCACACTAGACTGTGGTGCGTCAGTCTGCTTCTTTTGTGACCACACTGCGCTCACGCTGCTTGCTGCTTTGCCGCTGTAGCGCTTGCTGACCCCTCCTCAAGTCCGATAGTTGCGCATAAATCCACTACCCTTCCTTGTCCGGTGGTTCCCTCGGGCTCTCTTACAGGCTTGCACATCCCCTCGTTCTCTAGGAACCTAGTTGGTGTCGCCTGTCTTCAAGACCTCAGCATCACCACCACATTCTCTGGACACGAGCCGTACGCTGTCTGTACCGAGGCCGCCACTGGTGCCCCTCTCGCCACGCTCCCCCGGGACCTCGTGTCATGCCTGTTTTCCCTCGACACCGCGCCCTCCACCAGGTAGCTGCGGCTTGCTCGTGCTGGTCGCCCATCCACTTGTCACTGCTGTGGCACCACCGCCTAGGTCACCCCGCACTTCCGCGTCTGCGCTACATGTCTCATCACGGTCTTGTCTTCACTCCATGCGTCACTC